TTAGAAACATTTTTTTTTATACAACTTAGAATGGCAAACAAGCTGACGGCCCACCTGATGGAAAGTGGTAACCGTCGCCTGTAGACAGGAGCAGTACCATGGACGTAACAGAGTATACTGTTTCGCCCATGATACTCCCCATGCGTTTCCATTCCTGAGAACTCAGGTGTTATTCCTCTGTACCCAGTAAATTCACGCCATATCCCACCCTTCAAACCGAAACACAGCCATGCAAACACAACTGCTTCACGGTAGAAACACGAATGGGACAGAGGTACCCAAGCAATCGACTTTTGTACAAAGTCTCCCTCTGGTGAATGTTTATTTTAAAATTAATCATTAAATAATAAGGCAGAGAGTAAAATGATATTAGACGCTAATTTCAGACTAAAAATTGACATAAAACTGACAAAAATTACACTTGCGACATCTATATGAAATAAGTCTACCATTATGCTACATAATAAGATTTGTCGATGATTCCACGCTACTAAGTGATATCGAACTCTTGCAACAAAACCTCACCTTGTCGTTTTGTATCCACTAGCATCAATATACCCTATTAAGTTGATCTCCATCGTTTTTACAATTCTGGAGATCTCGTCACGATGACCCGAGTTCAACCTGTCATCATTTATTGGTATCCCACCAGCCGCTATAGTATACCAATAGCGCAAAAGACGTTACCTTTCCATATTCATCCCATAAAAAGATTCCTATGTTTTCTACCAAGTTCATATTGGATTCTATGAAGAATTGTTTGAGATACGTAACACTCCTGGTATTTTAGAACTATAATAATCGTTTACCAATGGATAAATTGTATGATAGTTTGGCATCATTATGGCAAAAAAAATATAATAAATCAGTTAGGACTTTTATTTATGATAAAGTATAGTAAACACCTCTTCCTTTCCCGTAGATGTCGTAAATCTAAGTCAATTATTTGGAGAGATGGATGAACAAAAGTTACGAAATTACTATTCAAACATAAAAACGTACAGAACCGTAAATATAAATATTCAACATTTTATTTATGATAAAAATAAAAATTTCCTTTCCCGTCATGTCGAAATAATGCGAGAAATAGGCTTAAAAAGCTTGTCCTAAAGCCATTTATAGATCAATTTTCCAAGCGTGGCAATCAATTCTACAGAGGCTTATTTCACAACGGACATAAAAAACTGTTCAACCATAATACAAACTTTAACCATTTGGAGAGATCAATGAGAAACTAAGGAAAAATATTCAACACAACTTTTATTTATGAGATTTGAAGAGTTGTACGTAAATTACGTATTCAACACAATATTTGTGTTTTATTTGAGATGTCAAGTAGGCGATAATAATTTGTGAATTTGGAGAGATGGATGAGAAACTAGATATAATTAAAACACAACTTTTATTATATCCAAACGTAAGTTGTACGTAAATTACGTATTCAACACAACTTTTATTTATGATAAAGTATAGTAAACACCTCTTCCTTTCCCGTAGATGTCGTAAGAGGCGACTAAGGAAATGCGAGAAATAGGCTTAAAAAGCTTAGGCTTCTCTAAAGCCTAACTGCAGTTGCCAATCCGCCTACCAAGCGTGGCAACTACTGGCAAAACCCTCCTAGGGAGAGGCTTATGTTCAGCAGTGGACAGTAAAAAACTGATATCATGATGATAATAGTAAACTCCGTGTGGTGACAGTCAATAATATATTTTATTTTTCAAGGCTAGAATTACGTAATGATATGACGTCATAGCGGGATGCTAAGGAAAAAAAAAATAAACAGTCGAAATAAACAATTTTTCCATAACTTAAGCATTATAAAAATGTAGACTTAAGATTTTTTTTCTCCTTAAAAGAAAAGTAATCTATGGTCAGTAGAAGCAACAGGTCTTTGAAATTTCATAATCCCATAGATATTTGGGGTAATTATGATGCTAGATTGCATTTAAATTTTATTTTTTGTCTACAAAAAAGTTGTTTTTTCAATTCATTTCTAATCATATGTCAGAGAAGCATGGATTGAAAGATGGTGCAGTGACAATTATCGAAAAGGAATGTTGCTTTGGTTTGGCCATTTGGAGAGATGGATGAGAAAAGAATTACGAAAGAGATTTATCCAGCACGAAGGAAATGTCGGTAGGGGTAGACCTAAAAGGAAGTATGTTAACCAAATAGGCAATGTTTTGAAGAAGGGCCAAATTTAATGTAACTGGCAAGCGTGTATGAAAAGATAGATGAATATGGAGGAAGTAAAAAGGTCTGCGTTAATCGAAGATTTAGCGTTCCATTGTTTTTGTCTACCCCAATGGGAGACAAACGTGACAGATATGTTTATACAATGATATTATTATCATTGTATAAATTGTGGTGAATTATTTATATTGTATGTTTCATTAATTAATGAAATATATTATTTATGCATCATTTATGTAAGTATGTAATACATACATAATAATTTTATCTTTGACTGTTAAATTGGTTACACAGGTTACACTCTGGGTTTGTTGTACGCGTCTGTGTAGCCTAACTTCAGGCTGCAGTCAGTCTGCTGCTAAAAATCAGTGCTTTGCTTTTAAGCAAAACCATCACTGAGCTGTAGCCTGTTTGGGTCACTGCGACACACATGGCGAAACCATATTTTCGTATTTTATCTTTTGTTTTATATTAAAAAAAAGTGTTAATAATTTGATTGTATTATAAAACTCATTTGTAAATTTACGTGTGTCATAAATGGCTCAAATAAAAAGTTTCTCTATCTATCATTTGTTTCTTCTGTAAGTTGGCATAATATTTATAATATTATTCCTAAACACACTTATAAATACATAAACTATAATTCGTAGTCTAGTTAGAGATTTCAAAATTAAATAAAATAAATTGACTTTTAAAACTTAACTTTTTAGTTTGTTTCTTAAAGTAAAAAGACATAACGACCACCTGCAGTGTGTAAAATTAGATACCTAGTCAATTGTAACAATAACGTTGAGCGAACTGAAATTTAGTAATGCTACACAATTGGATTTCTACCTTCCAATATAAAATTTAATCCTATTTTACTCTCTCGCGTATTGACAAGATAAATTTAATTTAATAATATTTAGATTATTAATGTTATGTAATTGTATTGTATGTCCGATGTATGGGTAGGCTGCGTAAATTTTCTTTATCAGGTTATGAACAATTTACGTATGATTATAATGTACAGCTCACAATAAACATTTATTCTATTCTATTCTACTTAAAAACTTCTTCAATCTCAACGCAAAAGAATAACGAATCTGGTTTTACATTTGCATTCATTAAAAAACAATGATTGTATGCAAGTACTACCTATACGATTCTCCTTTCTCATCACATAAACATTAGCAAAAACTGTAGTCTATGCAAAAAGCAGGCAATACAATGAGCGCTGACTAACGATGGACGAAGATAACCCCGGGGCGTTGCAACACTTATTCTAGCGCTTTAAATGGTGTAAAACGATTGTTATAGCCCCAATTAGGCACTGTGAGACATATACCACTATTCTTTTCACTAGCCCATGGCACAATCTCCTGCTTTTCTGGCTATTGTGTTCATGGTACGTTAGGAACATTTCAAAACATCACAGATATCTCGCTTGATTAATGACATTACTATAATATTTCCACTATGGCCGGGTTTGCAAAAGGGTTGCGGACGGACGTTGATGAAATTTTTTGCTTATTATCCGCCATTTTGAAACCATAGACAAAGAGCTGTTTGTTAGGTGGCTGATTTTGTTATCCGAGATCCGAAATTTAAAATAGGAATCGTGATTGTTATTGAATTGGAGACATTAAGCGTAACGAAATGTTTTATAAGTACCTTGTTAAATATAGCGCCATTAATTTATTTGTATCTTCAAAATGAATGTTTTAATTTGATTGTAATTAAATTTATGATGTCAGAATTAATATGAAAATTCACAATAATTCTTATATCCTAAATTTAGTTTTTAGTCGTCAATACCTAATATAGTACATGTTTTAACTATCACACAAATTCATAACATTTTCGCTAAATTAATAAATTAAAATTTTAAAACTGGTGGGATTGGTATTTCAGAATCGACACAAATGACTTATTTCTTATGAATAGTTTTGTGTGATTCATCTGGATAGGTAATGATCACTAACCATATCAATGGTGAAAAAGCAGTTATGTGAGGTGCCTCGGCATGAAGGGTAAGATAGCTAGGGCAATATTTATAAGAGAATCAAATAAAAAAGATAAATGTTTATTTTATTATAAAATATCTAATAATTACAATAAAAAAAATAGGCATATACATATAAAGGCAAGTAAGAATATAGCAATGTGTTACATGTTCAGAAAAGTATAAGAATGGTAACGTCTTAATCCTTATATTATCACCAACCCACGAGGAGTGCCTGCCTTCGGCGGAGTAGCAAATCTAATTAACTTCAGTGTCAAACAAACACACAACCTGTTTATTATTAAACTGTTGCCAAATCCTGAGCATGCCAGCAACACCGGATATGTAATTTGTAGTTGTGTGTATTAATATTATATTTAAGAAACCCCAAAAAAATTATAACCCTGTGCTATAGAAAAATCACACTTCGTAATTTAAGCATTATTGGGATCAAATTCTAGTAACCATTTTAAGTTATTCTAAGGTTTAAGAACGAAGTGGCAAAGGGCCAGAGACACATCATCAATAATACCAAACTTTGACTCTGTAATACAAAATAGATGTATCATATTTATTATATAGCACCAATTTGAGTGCTAATAACTTTATCTCCATTTTCTAACCGACCTAAAACCGTAAATTCATTATCTACATTTTTATGTAATATTTAATTAACATCCCGCAATTACCACAGTGTATATTATGCTATAAATCGTTCTCATCTTCTTGAGTATCCTTTCGAAACATCGAGTAGGGGCGCCGCGTCCGGAGTAGGGGTGGTAAAACGGAAAGTCGACGGCCGCTCGCGGTACTGCCGCTTGGACTGTCGTCGCGTTAGCCCACTACCACGCGATTTAAAAAAAAAGCTCATCGTTGTTTATGGTCAATTTTAAATTTGGAAACTAGTGAGGTGCAAGTGCTCTGGATTGATTCGTGTAAAGTGCGAGGAGCTTTTTGTTGAACTGTGGTGTGTTGTGTGTGATGGTACTCAGCCGCTCTATTCGTTGAGAGTGCAGCATGAGGGGTACAGTTTGTCAGTTTCTGCTGTTGGCGCATGCGGTCTGTGCCATCACAGGACCTAGGGTGAGTGTAATTATTATATCTTTTAATATTTGTCATAATTATATATTTATTATATTCATTATATAATTTTGAAATTAGTAAATTTAATAAAATTTATAACAAGACATTTAAAATACATGTGTAGAAAGATAAGAAAATTTAATGTAAATAAAATATATATGTAATAAATATAAAAAAATATTACGTGTATTTAAAAAAATTACGTGAATATAAAAATGAGATATTTATGATCACTATACCTAATTATACATTGTACAATTATTGTCAGGGAAATACTTATATAAAAAATAATTATTAAAACTTAATATTCCACAAAACTGATAACAATACCATATAATTAATTATTTAAGGGATCATTTTAATCCTAAAACTCAGCAAAGTATGTACGAAATTTTATAAAACGAAAAAGTGCCTACAATTTTCTCATTTTAAACATTGTACGAGTACCTACTTTTTCTAAATTGTCGCAACGGAGAATCGATCGCGAGATCTCATGTCACGCAACATACTTGTACACGCGTTAGGCAGAGGCAACAATTAACTACAACATATATATCGATAATTGCAATTACTTTTTCTTTTTTCTTTATCTCTGTTGTACATCTCTTTGTTTTTTGTCTTTTAAAAAAAATAGAAATCTCTGAAAACATCACTACATTCTATAAAAAAAAAAACAAATTGTCTATGCTATTAAGCATAAATATTACCTTATAATGAAGCTGTTATATAGGTATTTGGTATTTTTAGTAAGTAAACTAAATATATATAAAATACTAATTTTATATTATATTACAAAATATTTTTAAATGAAGTGCAGTCGAGTTTGATGCCATGTCTCGACTAAATCTATATTTGGCTGTTGACTGTTGGTTAAATTAACATAAGAATCTGTAATGGCCTGATACTAGTAAGCATGACCAACTTTTACTCGCGACTTCATCCATTTTAACGGGGTTCACTGATAGGGACAAAAGAAGTCTTTATCCTTCTTCATCCCTTATAGTATGTGTATAACAAATTTCATAGTGATTGGTTAAGCCGTTAACTTGTTAAAAAGACAACAAACAAACTCACTTTCACATTTATAATATTAGTAAAGATAGTAAGGCTGGCCATATTTTTATTCGAAATTATTATCTGCCACAACCGCTGTGTGGTCCCGGCATAGAATGGGCCAATCTTTTCTTTCCCGTGGATGTCGTAAGAGATGACTAAGGGCACTTAACAGTCGAGGGATAGACAGCAGCGTCCCTATTAAAACATCACCAAAACCTTGCCAACTCGCCTGCCAAGCGTGGCAACTACTGACAAAACCCCCTAACAGATGATGTTTATATTCTGCAGTGAAAAGTTAACAGCTGATATGGTATGGTTTGATATATTTACCATAAATTAGATTTTTAATACAAATATTTTACCTAACCCCTATAAGAAGATGTAGCTCTCTACGGTACACAAACCGATAGCTTACCATAATATAAGTTTCCCTACTTTTAGAAAAACTCCCAGACCACATAAAGTACAAAGTCTATTCCCCTAGTTCCCTCTTGCGATATCCTGACAATTAAAAAGGAATAAGTCTGATTAAAATAGTTAGTATATATTTATGTTAATAGAAATTATATTTTTAAATTTATTATTACATTTAGCATATTTTTTTAATTAATATAATTATTTGCAAGTAGCTATACATTCAGTATTGTTAAATACCATTACATAATACAAACACTGCAAGCTCTCAGACTGTTATGTCAACCACGAGCGAGAGAGCGTCATATCCGAACACCCGCCATTTTATTTATACACCATTTATAAGCTGAAAGCAAATGGAATAAAAAGTAGTATTTTAACTTTATAATTATATCATTATATTTAATAAGATATAATTATAATGAAATAATGATACTATGCTTAATGTAGAATTAATTCGTAATTTCCGTTAAATTTATCGCTATGTTTTTTTTTTTAGTATTATGTAAATAATATATAATATAAAAAAATATAAATATAAAGTACGTAATAATTTCAAAAAAGTAGAAAATTAATTTGTAATTTAAAATACAACGTTAATATTGTTAAAAATAAGAGTAAGAGATAAGTGAGTGAACTTTGAAATTCTGTCCAAAAATTATAAAAAAATTATATATATATAATTATCTTACCATTTCGTAAACTAAAACGTAAAAGTAGTATTTTAACTTTTTAATTATATCATTATATTTAATAAGATATAATTATAATGAAATAATGATATTATGCTTAATGTAGAATTAATTCATAATTTCCGTTAAATTTATCGCTGTTTTTTTAGTATTATGTAAATAATATATAATATAAAAAATATAAATATAAAGTACCTAATAATTTTAAAAAATGGTCAATTTATTTCTAACGTAAAATATTATAACATGAAATATAATAGTAAGATATAAGTTAGTGAACTTTGAAATTCTGTCCAAAAAATATAAAATATGGGGTATTTTTACCATTTCGTAAACTAAAACGCATAGACAAACGTAAGATTTTTTTTTTATAATTATAATCAATGCTAACTCTGTAATAGATAACTTTTATTTTCGTGTAAATAGTCTTTTTATTTATATATTATATATACATATTTATTTATTTACCAGAGGGAGACTTTGTATAAAAGTCGTTTGCTTGGGTACCTCTGTTCCATTTGTGTTTCAACCGTGAAGCGGTTGTGTTTGCATGGCTGTGTTTCAGTTTGAAGGGTAGGATATGGCGTGAATTTACATGGTACAGAGGAATAACACCTGAGTCCTCAAGAATGGCAACGCATGGAGGGTATCATAGGCGAAACAGTATACTCTGTTATGTCCATGGTACTGCTCATGTCTATAAGCAATGGTTACCACTTTCCATCAGGTTGGCCGTCAGCTTGTTTGCCATTCTAAGTTGTATAAAAAAAACATTTGTCAATATTACTTACTAATTATACTTTCACACTTTCGTTTCGACTTTACAGTCATACTGTGTACAAGTATGTGCGTCGCCAACAGTTGGTTGAAAAGTCATTTTTTCGGACAGTTCTCAACAGTGGATAGTCCTTCTAGATATATACCTATATTGGCATTGTGGTCCCGGCATAGAATATGCGACCGTGGGTGTCGTAAAAGCCGCCTAAGAAAGGACGAAGGATGGACAGCAGCGTCTCTCTTAAAACATCTCTAAAGCCTAACTGCAGTTGCCAAGCGTGGCAATTATTGGCAAAACCCCCAAGGGGGCGTCTTTTTTTTTAATGGGCGATAATGGAATAGTAGCTCCGCCTGCGCTAACAGTATACACTGGCGGGGCACCAGTAAGGGATGATAGGTAAGGATGAAAGCAGGTCAGTTGGCCCATAGTGATGAATTCATAAAAAAATAATCAAGATGGTTTGCAGGGGGCACCGCGTGGAGGTCGACCTGATAAGTAATATTGTTAGCAATGGGGCAATATTATATTGTTAATATATTGTCAGCAATAGTCCTATTACTAACAATCCCTTTCCCCCCAATTGTAAGTCTTATGTTCAGCAGTGAACAGTGAAAAGCAGATACGGTGATGATGATGATATAACCTATATAGATTATTGACTTTTATTTTGGAAAAATTAAAACAAAATCGGATCGAATGTCATCAAAATTTGTTTAGCACCTTAAAATAAATTCAGTAAAATACACATGTATTTTTATTATTACGAAGAACAACATATTATAAGAACTAAACCTTAAAACTATGTTTAAAACTAAATTTTTTATTTAATAGCTCACCAAACTCTGAATTTAGATAGATAGATAATTTAATGGACGAACATCTTATATATATACACACAGACATACTTACAATCAACGTGCCTATTTAATTAACCTTGCTCTGTTGATACTTTTTTCCAAACTAATTAACCAGCAGTTGTATTCTTTTATTGCTTATTTACCACACGGTTACATAATTAAGAGATTAATTAAATTACAGAATTTACACTGTATATAAATAATTTAATTGTGACATTCGTAAAATCCTTCCCAGTGTTATAAAACAATCAACAATGGCGTCAGAATCCAGTTGATTTAGTCATAAACCATTCATAGACAATATCACAGATCTTTTTTTTCTGTAATAATTAAAAAAAAATCTCCTTGGTCTATGGTGTCACCTATTATGCATTAAACAAGAGTTTCAATTACTCGCAGTGTAGGGTCACATTTTTCGAGCTTTACAAGGCTAGACCGTATTTGATACGTACAAAATGTGTTAAGAATTGATCTATTGATTTTTTAAAATAATTGAACAATTTTCATTGTTTCTGATTGATTAATTATTTAAAAAGTTGCCATATAGTCCCGTCGTAGAATGGACCACCACTTCCTTTTCCGTGAGTGTCGTAAGAGGTGACTAAGGAAACTTAATAGTCAAGTAATGGGTAGCAACTACTAAACTATCACCAAAAACTTAACTTTTTTTTTTATAAAACTTAGCATGGCAAACAAGCTGACGGCCCACCTGATGGAAAGTGGTAACCATCGCCTATAGACATGAGCAGTACCATGGACATAACAGAGTATACTGTTTCGCCCATGATACCCCATGCGTTGCCATTCCTGAGGACTCAAGTGTTATTCCTCTGTACCCAGTAAATTCACGCCATATCCCATCCCTTCAAACTGAAACACAGCCATGCAAACACAACTACATAACTGCAGTTGCCACTCTGCTTGCCAAGCGTGGCATCTACTGGCAAAACCTTCCTTATTGGGGAGATTTATGATCAAACAGACAGAAAGTAATAAACGATTAAAAAATTACGTTACTTCTTTTATGTATTTTCATTTTTTTTTGTATATATATTTTTTTATTTCTTTTTTTAGATATGTGTCAATATCTGATGTTATTAGTGTGTTGTAAGAGATGCAAATAAATTATATATTTATTTATCTATGTAAAGTACTCTGTTAGCGAATTAAAACCTCTAGAATTTTTTTTTATAACATAAGGAA